AATCGCCAGTGTTCGCCGCACTGGCGCAATACGCCATCTTGCACACATTGTCAGTAGTTCATCTTACGCGCCAAATTTGAAAGTCACTTGACTCGCGCACTTCACTCACAACAGAGGGGCACTGGACTGTGACTCATATAACGTCATATACCTTCTGGAATGTAGGGTGTGTAACATGCAATACGTGGGGCAGACAGACACACCGTTTAGAATTAGATTCAACAACCATCGGGCACATGTACGTTCCCTGCCAGGCCTTCCACTTTCAAAACACAGTACAACAAAAAACTACAGCTTTGATGAAATAAGAGTTTCCCTATTGGAAAGCAATTTTACAACAATCAGAGAGCGGGAACAACGGGAATCTTACTTTATCTACAAATTCAACAACATAAAAAACGGAATAAATGAACACCCATGCACTCTGTCAGCGTTACGATCAATAAAAGATGCAAACGCCCCTCTTTATTCAGTACTGTGCCCCAACCCTCCTATTACAACAATAATATTACTCCCTAACAAAGCTTTTAGCGTATACATCTGACAATAAAGAAATGGTTTGCTACTTCAAGCACAGCGGGAACGCACATATAAGTGGTCCCGGATATCATACAAGTTCCACTTTTTTTTTCTTTGTTTTCTCCTTTTTCTCTTTCTTTTCTTCTTTTTCTTTACTGACATGAGCCAATGCATATAATGAATATTGATAGCGTCGCCACAATCACCGGCTCTTTCATATTTTCCGATGCCACGAACGTGCACTTGAAGCGCTTAAGCTCTCCCACCGATTTGTGGTAAACTTCAAAACAGGTCAAGTTGCCAGCGGATTGCACCGGAGGGTGAAATAGAGAAATGGTGGTCAAAATGTCCATTTGGGGGAAGGGTTAGCGCTTGGGAGGTATTGTTGACAAAGATGACACAGCTCGTTTATGTTCGCCTTTGTTGAGATCCTGTTCCTTCCTAATCCCGCCGTGCCCCTCTTGCTTTTTTTTCTAACGTTTATTCCTCCATTTTTTTTTCTTTTTTCTTCTTTTGTCTTTTTTCTTCTTTCCTTTTTTTTCTTGATGTTATTATTTTTCTTCCGTCCCCTTGCCTCCTTTCTCGAGAAGCTATAAGAAGGCACGAAATATGTAGATGGTATTGTGCCTTGAAAAAGACGGGGCTCGCGCCGAAACGTCGGCTGAATAAACAAGTTGTTATGTGAAAGCGCATTTACTTTCATATATATATATATATATATATATATATATATATATATATATATATATATATATATATATGTGTGTGTGTGTGAAGCTACGATGAAGGGGTGACGTGGCCTGGCTCATACGCCATGTTTATTCTAATGTCACTTCTTCCTTCTCGGCTTCTACCAATCGTCGCTTCATACGTCACACGATTCCCCCTCCCCCCGAAAGATGGCACTGGTTACAAACTATAACAAATTAAAGAAGTGAATGAACAAAACAATGCCCAAATTCACAGTTTCACGTCCAGACGGAGTTCCACAATCTCACTAAATCTTCAAGGCCGATTGAGCAGTCCGATGAATTTTATGACAACTCTGGTGGGCGAGGTTGGCTATTGCGTTCTGGCCAACAGCAGCCCGCCTTGAACGTAGAAATTACTGATGGCACAGCGATTCTTGTCATGAATGAACAAGGGTCGAAGTACTTGTAGCATTTGAGAGTCGGATGTCGTAGGCACGAAGTTCTCCGTCGTAGACGCTGCTTTTTGTGTCGTGGCTGAGACATAACGAGTGCTTGCAGCCTGCATGTGCGAGAACCGAAGCTGATGGTATGATGCCTTTGTTCCTTCATTGTACACGTGGTAGCTGCACGTCTCTTTCGTAGCTTTCTGTAGTCTTCTCTCAGTTTGTTGAATCGTAAACACGGCGTTGAGAACTGGTGCAGGAAACTTTGTCGTCGTTGCTTTCTGCGAAGATGGCTCAGGCATCGACTTCGTTTTTGCTTCTTGAATTGATGTTGTCTCTGATAATCTTTCAGCCACAAGTGTACTCGTGAGGAGGTTTCACTTGATCGTTGTTCTTGTTCGAGTAGCCGTTGCAGTTCTTGGAGTTCGTAGAGTTGCCTTTGTTGAAATTGCTCGTCTTCTTGTGAAAGTTCGTCAGATGGGCCTCTTTCAGGAACATGAATATGCTTCTCTTTAGATGGTGATGTGATCAGTAGATTGTCGGTAGTCGACACTGTACTGCTAGGCTTGTCCTGCGATGAAAGCAGCGTGACAGGCTGATGAGAACGCTCCCAAGATGGTTGTGAGTCATCCTTGATTGTAAATGCTTCTGTCAGTTGACAATGCGCTGGCGTTGGTGGATTCGAAATTCCTGCAGTGCTTTGACTCACATGTGTGTTGTCACTTGACGATGAGAGCACAACAGACATGGATTCAGGTAGTTCTGATGGCGTATGTTTTTCTTTTTGCAGCGTAGTTAGGCTGACAGTGTTTGTCGAACGACCCTGGTCGAGAACGTCAGGGTGGGGGCTGGTATTGCGAGGATTTACCAGCTCGTCACACGTAAATTCCGTCACACGCCCAAAACCATTTGGGCCTTGTGTGTGACAAGATGCATCAAGGCATTTGGGTGGTTCTGTAAAATCTGAAGTGTTGTGGTGCAGTGAACACGTTGAAAATGCTGATTTCATTGCACTTGGGAAAGGCGAGTTTAGGTTCAGTTTTTTGGCGAAATTTTCTAGATTCCTTTCGGTATACGGACGCTTTACCTTGTCTGTTGTGACGTGCACATTACCAGTCGGTGTTCGAATGCGTGACGTTTTTTCGGAAGAGTCATATACTGGTACATTGGTGGCATATTTTCTCTGAGACCTCGTTTGGAAAATAGGCTTACTGCGGGAAGACTTCGCGTAACTGTGACGGGTCAGTTGAAAAGCCTTCCGCTGATGAGGTATGAACATGTCTTCATCGTATTCTTTGAAACGGGTAATCATCTCTTCCCTGATCTTTTGCCATGATTCGTCGTTTTCGAATATGTGTGTCAGGTAAAACTTGAATGCCTCACCGGAGATGTAGTCAGTGAAGTTGATGATCATCTCCCGTTCCGACCAGCATGCAGCGGCGGCGTGGACCTCGAATAGAATGAACCAGTCCTGTACGGGTCCGTCGTCCGCTGATCCGGTGTACTTGGGGATGTCGAGCTCAGTCGATGGTTCTGTCATGGTGCCGGTAACTGTATGCGCCTGAGATCACCTCTTCCGTGGTCGATATTCAGTTGAGGCGTACTGCAGGTGGCTTCGTGAATGATGTGAGGTTGATGAGTAGTGGCCAGGTCTTCATCCCGTCGACTTGTGTGAAGCTACGATGAAGGGGTGACGTGGCCTGGCTCATACGCCATGTTTATTCTAATGTCACTTCTTCCTTGTGTGACGCTACGATGAATGGGTGACGTGACGTGGCTCATGCGCCATGTTTATTCTATTGTCACTTCTTCCTTCTCAGCTTCTACCAACCATCGCTTCATACGTCACATATATATATATATATATATATATATATATATATATATATATATATATATATATATATATATATATATATATATATATATATATGGGCCGCTGTGATAGCTCAGTGGTTAGAGCATCGAACGCGTTATTCGAAGGTCGTAGGTTCCATTCCTGCTCACAGCTGGTTATTTTTTTCACCCACTTTTCTTCCTTCTTATTTACATTCCATTGGTTCTAATAACTTCCCCTGTACATTCCTTGGCATTACTGTCTGTTAGATCTCATTATTATTGTGTCTTAACACGGAAAAACAAGCCCTTAGGCATACACTTCTTTCTCTTATATATATATATATATATATATATTGTGAGCGCCAATTTCTATATATATATATATATATATATATATATATATATATATATATAGAAATTGGCTTGAGCGGACAAACGTGCGAAAACTTTTATTGCTCCTACGTTTCGGGCCGGGGTCCGGCCTTCGTCAGAAAGTTCCCTGACGAAGGCCGGACCCCAGCCGAAACGCAGGAGCAATAAAAGTTTTCGCACGTTTGTCCGCTCAAGCCAACTTCTATTCAGAAGACACTCGCTGGATATATATATATATATATATATATATATATATATATATATATATATATATATATATATATATATATATATATATATATATATATATATATATATATATATATATATATATATATTATATGATGCAAGAAAGAAAAATTCCAGAAACAAAACCACAGGGCGCGGAATCATATATCATAAGAAATATAATAAGTAAATATTTCTATCTCAGCACTGTGTCTGTTTACTAGTCGCTCTTCATTTTATGTTGTGCATACCTTTCTCTGTGTTTGTCTCTTTCTCTGGTTTTTTGGATTTTTTTTACCGATATCTCTCCTCCTTATCTTTATGTGTGCTCTCCTCACACTATTGCGCTTTGCCACCACCCTGCTACAGTATATATTAGAAAGTTATGCTGTATTCCATTAGCGCCTCTGCAAAGCTCAGTGGTTGGTACACTCGCCTTTGCTTCTAGAGTAAGCGGGTTCGAATCCCACCTCACGAATTTCGCAACAATTTTTCCCCTTTCTCTCTATGGCTCGCTCTTTTTTCTGTATTTTTCCTTTCTTTGTCACTACACGCTCCATCACACTTAAGCGCTACTACAGGACACGCCTGATAAATCGGCACGTGTGTTCTGTGAGCGAGGAAGAGGAGGGTGCAGAAAGTTCATGCCGGTTCATGACGATTATGGTTCCCGTTTCCCGTAGACAAGTCCGAGTGAGCTTTAACAGCTTTTTCGTTTAAGTATTCTGCTGGAAAATATTCATTGAAGCATGACGCAAACCAAAGATGGCGGGGTGTTTGAATGTATTTGTCAATCATATCGTGCCTTTCGGCGAATGAACAAAGAATAATATGTCTAGAAGCCACGAACTTTTCTGTCTTCTTTTATACTGTGCAGCTGCTCGTTAGTGGTGAGAGTTTTTCCTACCTGTTTGACAGTGGCGAAGCCGCAGTTCTCTTGCGTCTCGGTGTAGAACGCCCAGTCTATTTCGGAAAACTGACTGATGGTCGTGAAGAGGGGCACGTCGGTCACCGTGTCCTCCAGGCCACCTGCCTCCAGGAGCAACACCCGTGTCGACGGGTCTTTCGAGAGTCGGTTCGCCAGCACGGACCCAGCCGAGCCACCTCCCACTGCCAAACAAAAAGGACATCATTGGAGAGTGTCCATAATGAACAATACTGAGCACGCCTAGCTGAACTGATTGATTGTTTGGTTGTTCCTCAAACACCTGGCGCCACCCACCACGACAAATCTGCCATGAAACGAACGGTACCCTTTTTTTTTCTTTTTTTTGGAATAATATTGGTTTACCAGATAAACTAATACACTTCTTGCCACTGTTCTCTTATTTTTATTTTTCGTGCATTTGTTCATTTTCATCTCGACCGTCTAAGGTGCTTCCCATGCTTATTCTTGTTAGTATTTTATTTTTTATCTGTGAAGCGTTGCGTTTTTCCAAATATATTGTTTGGAAATACTTGTGTTTCAATGCTATATAAGAATGGAGGGCATCTGCTTTTCAGCTTAGTTTTGTCTGGTATGTCAGAACACACAGCCGATGGCCCTGATCCCGCCTCAAGTTGCATTGAACAGTGCTATTACAGAGATGAGATCAACCAAACAAAAGAATGTATTCAGGTAAGCCTGAACCCTTATTTGCTCTCCTTGCCACAATACTAATGATCATAGTGGTGGTGAACTCGTTCACACACTTACGCGCATGTATATATAATAGAAGTTTGCACGTGAAAAAATTGTTCCGGAAAAAAAACATTTACGCCGCAGGACAGGGCTTTGTCGGTGAATGAAGAAAAGTGAGTATATATATATATATATATATATATATATATATATTTTTAAGGCGTTCTCACAAAAGTCCGAAGAGCGGTCGGCTCAGCGCAGCCAAAAACAGAACAATGGCACGAGGGGAACTGCCACTTCGTCTGCCTCTTTTGCGCTGGCAGCTCAAGCGCGCGGCAATATATATATATATATATATCAAAGTCAGAACGAAGGGCACTCGATGAACTACGAAAAACACTGGAATTACTATCAAACCGGCTGATAAAGGGGGCTGCATAGTAATTCTAATCACGTCGGACTACTTAAAGGAAGGGGAACAACAACTATCAGACACAAAATTCTACAAAAAACTTCCAACGCACCCGACTCCCGAATTTGAAAGGGAGATAAAAGTAACCCTAAACAATCTCGGCCGGGACGAGAAAATTACAGGCAAAATGTTGAAAGCAATGTTACCAGCCCATTCTGTTCCCGGTCGATTCTATTTGCTCCCAAAAATACACAAGGCAGGCAATCCGGGACGTCCGATAGTTTCCAGTAACAGCACATCAACATAAAATATATCAGAATTCATCAATTCCTCAATAAAAACATCCCTTCAAATTTTCCCTATTACCTAAAGAACACAAACCACTTCATCTGCGAAACTTCAAGTCTCGACATCCCAGGCGGCAGTTTTCTGGTGACCATGGACGTCTGCTCACTGTACACCAACATACCCCACCATGACGGAATAGCGGCTATGGTTTCTGAATATGTAAAATCTGACTCATCAACTAGTGTAGGTGGCGAGGTACTGTTTACACTTCTTGAACTTGTACTAAATTATAACCATTTTGAGTTCAATGGCAAGCATTTCCGTCAGGTCAGTGGCACTGCAATGGGCACAAAAATGGCCCCAAACTTCGCGAGCACCTTTATGGCTTTACTTGAAATCCTATTCATTGAGGGACGCACCTTGAAACCTTTCTACTACAGAAGATACTTAGACGATATTTTTATGATATGGAACCACAATGAGGGAAGTCTTTTCCGCTTCATAGAGGATTTTAACAAGTGCCACCTGTCGATAAATTTCACGCACAAATTTTCCAAAACTAGCATTGACTTTTTGGACGTCACTGTCATGGTCAAAAATGACCGCTTGTCAACGAACCTTTACAAAAGACCTACAGACCGTCAACTGTACCTACATTTCAACAGCAGCCACCCAAAGCATTGCAAAACGGGTATTCCATATTCTCAGGCCTACCAGTACCGAAGAATATGCACCGATATGCGGGAATTTGATAGACACGCGGAACACCTAAAGCATTCCTTATTGAAACAAAATTATCCGGAAGACATTATTGACGATGCCATACTACGTGCTCGCAACGTGAAGTGGAATGATATAATTAAGGGACCAAACAGAGTATCTAAAGCGACTTCCCAAACGAATGTTGTACTAACTTACTCCTCATCAGCGCCACGAATCAACAACATACTTTCCCGTCATTTCAACATAATCAGGCAAAGCAAACGACTAACTTCTATTTTCGCGAAACCACTTCACGTGGTGTACCGCAGGGATAAAAATCTGAAGGACATTCTTGTCAGAGCAAAAACAAACACCCCCGAATTCCAATCAGGGTGCCATCCCTACGGAAAAGCTCGATGCAAGGTATGCCCACAGATGGTCACAACACGTGAATCCAAAGCGAACTTCACGGATTTCAAATTCTGCATAACTGAAAACCTTAATTGTGACTCCAGTAACGTAATATACTGCATTGCAACATCTGTGGACAAGAATATTTCGGCCAAACAGACACGCCATTTCGGCTGCGGTTCAATAATCACCGGTACCACGCCACTTCACTGCCGAAGCTACCTTTATCTAGACATCTGCGCCTGCCAAACCACAGTTTTGAAAATATCAGCGTAACTCTTTTGCAGTCCGGTTTCTCAAACAGGCGCGAGCGCGAACAGCGTGAGGCATATTTTATTTTCAAATTTCGACCATTAGTAGCCGGCATCAACGAGGACCCCGGAAGACTCTCCTGCCTCCGAGAAGTAAGCCAGGAGGAAATTGGTGACAAAGATTGATAGATGGAGACCATGCTTGTTTTTTCTGACTGACTCCTACGTGTACACTGTCCTTTCTTGTTTTTTTTTCTTTTTTTTCTTTTTTTCTTCCTTTTTTTCTTTTTTCTACATGCACATACAAAATGTTTACATTCGCCTACCACTTGATGACCATTGAAGGGAAACGAACGAAGATTAAAGTTAAAGAGGCGACCGACCCATTAAGGGGAAACCCTTTCTTTACGCACGCCGCACGCCGACCGACCCATTAAAGGAAACCATTTCTTTACGCACGCCGTCACGTACCCTCCCGGCACCGCGGCGACAATCTTGGGTGGCCCGCCACACGTCGAGAACTGAACAGCACGTGATAAGAACCGTATGTGTACGTACACGGACAGTTGGTTTCGTTCTCAGTGTTGACAGTGGTTCTTCCTCTTTTTTACTTTCTTTCTTTTCTTTCTTTTTCTTTTTTTCGTCTTTTTTCTTCCCCTTTTTTTCTTTCCCTTTTTTAGTTCCTTCTCACTCTCGCAAACATCTTTCAAGGCGAGAGGGACGCGGCAGCAACGAAGTTTGAAAGTTCATGCCAGTATAATTCATCCCCTGATGAAGGGAGGACCCCTCCCGAAACTGTTGGGAAATAAATGTATTTATCCTTGTTGACAATGCTGCCGTTGTGCCACATCACATACCTATATATATATACATATATATATATATATATATATATATATATATATATATATATATATATATATATATATATATATATATATATATATATATATTGTAACGGGGTTTATTTGCAGCGCAGAACGCAGAAAGTGAAGCAGTCAGCAGCGTCCGGCCAAGCGCAGCAAGCACGAGCTTATGCTGATGGCGATGCCCCTGATGCGCCGAGAAATGCCTCTGAAGCTCCTCTTCTTCACTACAATCGCCCTCCGCACAAAAAGACGCCATCCTGGCGGATTAGGGAGAAGAAACGACTAATGGGTCGTAATATGGCTTGAGACGAGAGACGTGGACAGTGTCGCGGCCGCGGTAGCGTAGGTCTGTGGATGGGATGATGGGCTCCACGATATAGTTGACGAGTGACGTTCGCTCTACAACGCGGTATGGCCCGATGTATTTGGGAAGAAGTTTTGCAGAGCGGCCAGGTGCGGTAGCAGGTGCCCGAAGCCATACCAATGAACCAGGTGGAAAGTTTGGAGCCGAACGGTCCCCAGTCTGGCGGGATTGCTGCTGCCACTGGTCCTCGGTAGAAAAAGAGCGGGCAAGCTGGCGGCATTCTTCAGCATGTCGGGCAGCTTCGGACAGAGTTGTATTTTCGGACTCATAAGGTTTATATGGAAGAATAGTGTCTACTGTATTTGAAGGTTCTCGTCCGTACAAAAGAAAGTATGGCGAAAACCCAGTAGTAGCTTGTACGGCAGTATTATACGCGTAGGTGACGAACGGGAGAACTTGGTCCCAATTTGAATGATCAGAGGCGACGTACATCGACAGCATAGTGCCAAGAGTACGGTTGAAGCGCTCCGTCATGCCATTTGTTTGAGGGTGGTACGCTGTACTTGTGCGGTGCACGATTCGGCATTCGTTGAGTAATGCCTTCAAGGCGTCAGAAAGGAAGGCACGGCCTCTGTCACTTAAGAGCTCGCGAGGGGCACCATGACGCAGAATGAAACGTTGCTACAGAAATGTTCCAACTTCACGGGCTGTGGCAGTCGGCAGAGCGGCTGTTTCGGCATAGCGTGTCAGATGGTCTATCGCAACAATAATCCAGCGATTACCAGCTAGAGTTGATGGTAGTGGTCCGTAAATGTCAATGCCGACGCGATCAAAAGGTCGACTAGGACAAGGAAGAGGTTGTGACGGGTATACTTGCCCGGGAGGTAACTTTTGTCGTTGGCACTGAGCACACGAGCGAATGAACTTTCGCACGTAGTTATACATGCCACGCCAATAATATCTGAGTCGAAGCCTAGCGTATGTCTTGAAGAGGCCTGCGTGGGCGCACTGCGGGTCCGCGTGAAAAGCTTCGCAGATAGCAGCTCGAAGATGGCGGGGTATCACAAGGAGACACTTGCGACCGTCAGAAAGGTAGTTGCGTCGATAAAGAAGATCATTCCTTAGGCAAAAGTTGCTAGCCTGGCGGCGGAGAGCGCGAGACGGCGAAGGAGTGAGAGGATCAGAAAGAATGCTTATGAGGCCACTGATCCAGGGATCCTTTCGTTGTTCCACCGTCATGTTGCGCAAGGCG